TGAAGAGGTATGGCCCTCTTTCAATATAATGTTTAATTGTAATGGAATTAGAAGGAAAATTTGTCCCTTTTTTTGAATTTACATGTTTGAATGGGATTGATAGTAGAAGTAAAAAAGTGACAAAAGAAAGAGACAGCAAAAAAAGAAAGAAAAATGGGAGGCCAGTTATTATTAACAAAGGTTGCAAAGTTTTCTATATTATCAAAGAAAGTTATGTTCTGGTTCTTATAATGTAAAGTGAATTATTACCCATTAATGTCATTTAGTGATCTTTATGTAAGTTGATCTATCTTGTCATAGGAATATGGTCTTGTCCAGATTATGTTCATATTCTGTCAGTTGGGCCTAAATTTGCTACAATTTCTTCATACTTGAATAACATCTTACACCTTTTGAACTAACTGTTCTCTCAGTACAACAGTGGACTACCACTAAACTTAACACCATACCTCAGTACACTGCAATTTCAATTATTCACCTATTCGCTTTTAACACCTTGGTGCTTTTAGCCAATTCTAAACGAATAATCAATGACAACATTGCAATTAAAATTCAAAAATTATACCTACTTTTGCATATCATCTCGTCAACGAAAGGTTGCAGCATACTTTGTATCAGCAATCAACCCCTTCATAAACTGGGTTACCCCTTGGACATGAAGAGACACGTTGAATCATCATTAATTTGTTTACGTATATTGTCTGCCTATCAAACCTTATTCTACTTCTACATTGACTGTTATATAGATTACATGAACTCTTGGACAACTATAGAGGCGCCTTAACATCCTTTATGATTTGGCTGCGTATCTTTGCTGCCAATCAAACATGTCTTTGCATCAAAAATTGTCTTTGCGTCAAAATTAGCCGTTGCCTAGATAACGTAACCCCTTAAACAAGCAGGAGATGCGCTGAAATATCACCATTGACTTGTTCAATTAGCTCGACTGTTTATCAAATCCTTGTTTTTCAATCTACTAATTACCGTTCTGTAGAATCCAT